CGGCTGCACGATCTCACGGCGACCTTCAGCCATAATCGAGACGCGCAATTCCGCCAGCAGCTGCATACATTGCAGTGCGATATGACATTGATCAACAATGCGGATCCGTACTCGCCGGGTCCGCTGCCCGACTCGGCGGAGGAAATCGCTGCTTTGGTTGAGAAGACGATTGGTGGGGGAGCTTTTGCGAAGGAGATGGCTAGTTTGTCTGGCATGTGGTATTCGAGGTTTGTCCAGGAGGTGAATCAGGTTAAGGAGGAGAGGGATGCCGACTTGGCGGCGCTTGTGGTGAGTTTTTTTTTTTTTTTTTTTTTTTTTTTTTTTTTTTTTCCCTTTCTTCTTCTGCATACTTTTGTTACTGTCTAGAATGCTTGGAAGCTAACGTGTGCAGCACCGTCATAATAACAATCTAGAAAGGTTCCAACGGGAATACGCCTTCCGGGTGCACTTCGCCGGTGAAGAATACAACAACCTCTCCTCGACCCTGCGAGAACGGCTTGTACAGACAATTTCAGGGAAGAAGGCCCGGTTGATGCGGGAAAAGGAGCAGCTCGATATTGCTGATACCAATGCTCTCCTTCTTCATCCCAATCAATTCAGCATTACCAATCCTGCCAGTCCTGGTGGTGTTCACGGCAATCGCAAAACCCGGCATACCCGCCACCGGGTCGACCTGGACGAACTGGGCAACGGGATTGTGTCAGAGTTCAATAAAAGGAAGAGGAAAGCGCCTGAGGAGGATACTGGCTCGCCGGTGCGCGATCTGAACCCGGCCGAGCGGGCCAAGTCCCAGGTGGCGGAGAAGCAGCACGCGCCGACATACTCTATCCATACTCTGTTCACAGAAAAGGAACTCAGCGCACATGCCAATCAAGCCCATGTCGCCACGGTGCATTTCTTCTCGACATCCAAACGGGCTGATCAGCCTTCGGGCACTACGACGAACGGGAATAACACTGATGTCGAAGAGTCAGGCACGGGTGACGGTACCGGGCAGGAAGATAATGGTACACCGGCCGCCGACATGATGCGCACCGCCAGCCAGAATTACCATGCGACACGCTCCACACGGACCCACGGCAATCATGCGCTCAACGCGCTAGCCGAGCTGTCAGACAAGCCCGCGGTCCGCCCGAACCTGCCATATAATGTTCTCGCCAATTACCACGCTAGACCGAACAGTAATGCGCCACCACTGCCGTCTCTGATGAACGAAGAGGTAGAAGACGATTGTGCTCGGTTAGACCGCTTGCACAACAAGTCTGCTGGTTGGGTTGACCGTAACCTGATCGAACTGCTTGTGGAGCGGGTCCCGGCCGAGGTGGATGGGACGCCTCAGAACCCGCACCGGTTTAGTCTGTTGCACCCCGACTTTCCCACCGATATGGGGGTGCATCTCTACCCGCTCAAGACTAATGGCAGAGATGTGGAGCTCCAGAGCTACGAGCGCACCAAGAAGGCCAGAGCGAGCTAGCAGTAATGCTTTCTCGCTCATCTACTTCTTTCTGGCGTTGTCTATGGTCTTGGATTGGGGTTCAGGGTCTATGGGGCATGGAAATACCATGTCGGCGTTCTGGCTTGCTTGTTGGTGTTATTGGTGGTCAACAACTTCATTTTGTTGTTGAGCACGCGCCTGTGCGAGGTGACCATGGTAGCATTCGCACTTCGTGATTGATCTATGTCTTCAATGCTCACTTTCGTGTGATTGGCGTGTCGAATATAGATTCTACACTTGCGCGATGATTCTATTTGCTGAACTTACAGACTCGTACATTTGTTCTAATTTGACAGTTCTCTCACGGATATAGTCAAGTCATTGATGCACTTCCGCGCCTTCACTTCTCCAATGGGCCTGTCGCGAAAGGATCAGGTCCAGCGTATTGGTATTGCCCTCCATAGGTAGATACCTTAATATTGATGATTAGGTGTCTAAAGGAACAAGTGCTTCATGCTGGCCGACGCAGCCAATCAGCCAATCAGCCAATCATGTTATTCGAAATGATGCGGATTACCAATCCGTTGTGACGTCATTTCTTGGCATTTCTCTTACTTCTGATTGGTCTATATAAAGTCAGAGCTGGCAAAGCCGATGCTTCTGGTTGTTGTGATTGGTTGCTTCTAAGCACGTCATGTCTGGGGATGATTGGAAATCGAAGGAATACACTTACAAAGGCGACACATGACGGACACTTTTGGAGTCATTGTGGATGATTACAAATGGCCAGGATGATATAGCAGTCTGCATGGTATATAAGGGTAGGATGTGTTGCTGAACAACAACATCATCTCAGTCTATAGCTCTATAGACCGACCTTATACACACGTTCTTCAAACTACAGAATGTCGACCACTACCACAAGTACTACTACCACCACCAGCGTCGACCCCGTCCCCCGAGGCCCCGTCGACGTAGAATTAACCTTCTACGAACCCCCAGCCGACGGATCTACGCCTTACAACTACGTGGAATCTCCACCCGCCGGCGTCCCACCCCGCAACTACGGCGAGAAAGTACACAAAGTATCGCTAACCGACATCCGCGGCCACGAAGCAGACTACACCCTCGACACACACGCCTTCCAAGTCCTCCAACACATCCCCACAGCAACCACCTACTCCACCTTCGACTCCGACGCCGAAGTCCAACGCCTCTACTACCCCGAAGTGGAGCAGCTGCTGAAGCAGCACATCCCCGGCGCCCAGCGCATCCTCCTCTTCGACCACACCATCCGGAAACAAGATCCCAACGCCCCCCGCCAACCAGTCAACAGGGCACACGTCGACCAAACCCGCAAAGCGGCGCAGGACCGCGTCCGCCTGCACGTCACCGATCCAGACGAGGCAGAGCGCATCATCAGCCAGGGCGTGCGCTACCGCATCGTCAATGTCTGGCGGCCGTTGAACGGCCGCGTGGAGTCCTCGCCGCTGGCGTTTGCGGCGGCCCCGTCCGTCGATAACGAGAACGATCTGGTGGCTGTGGAGCACCGCTACCCGCATCGGACGGGCGAGACCATGGCCGTCAAGTATAATCCGAACCAGCGGTGGATGTACCTCTCCGGGATGGAGAATGAGGAGAGGCTGTTGTTGAAGTGCTCGGATAGTCTTGCGGCCGCGGCAGCGGAAGCAGGACAGGGAGGAGGAATTGGGGAGCGGGTGCCGCATTCTGCGTTTTCGGATCCGAGGACCAGGGAGGGCGCGAAGCCGAGGGAGAGTATTGAGGTGAGGGCTTTGGTGATTGGTTGAGCGAGCGTAGCTAGCTCATTCAGCGGCTCGTGAAGGTTGATCTTGGGAAGACAGTGTAGATGATGATGTTGCATAGCTGTACAGGTGTTTTGTTTACTGAGTATGATTAATAGAATGAATGGTGTCGTCCCTGTGATGAATTGATGACGGTTCCAAAAGACATTCAACCACGGTTTCTACGATGATGGCTTGTCTACACTGCAAGAGTATTCCTCCGATCAACACCACATCAAATCCTCCCTCTCACTCCCCTCCATTGATCTAATGCTCCAAATATGGCTGCAACACACGGACGAAAATCCACAGCGGACAGCAACGTCTCCGAGCCTCACGTCCTCCGCGGCAATATAAGCCACCAAGTCCAAGCCTTCACCGACTGGTCGCAGGCCCGCCGATTCCGCATCCTCGACACAATCAAGCACGACCACAGAGAGATCAAGTCCTTCTACGAGCTGATCGTCAGCTCGACCGACCCCGAGGAACAAACCAAATACCAGAACCAGTTCACCTGGGAACTGGCGCGGCATGCCGTCGGCGAGGAGCTAGTCGTTTATCCCGCGCTGGAGAAATACCTCGACGACGGGAAGGAGTTGGCGAGGAAGGATAGAGCCGAGCATCAGACTGTTAGATCCCTTTTTCCCTTTCCTTTGTATGTAGTGTGAGTGAGTGCGTCCGGCTGACAGCCTAGCCACAGGTAAAAGAAAAGCTCAAGGCCTTCCAGGACATGAAATCCACGGACCCGCGCTTCATCCCCACGCTGCAATCCCTCTGGGATGATCTCCAGGAGCATATCCATCACGAAGAGACGGAGGATATCCAACTGCTGGAGGACGCGCTCTCGGAACAGGAAAGCCTCGGGCTGTCGCAGTCGCTGAATAGGACGAAGCTATTTGTGCCTTCGCATGCGCATCCGGGGGCGCCGTCGACGCCGCCGTTTGAGACTGCTGTTGGGTTGCTTACGGCGCCGATAGATCGGTTGTCGGATCTGTTTCGGAAGTGGCCAGCTATGTAGAGCTCTGAACTTGGAATTGGTCTTGACGGTTCGCTGGCGTTAGACTGGAATAGCGCAGAATCAATGATGCTGCTGGCCTATAGCAAGTGGTGTCTTTGTCCCGGCAGGAGATTGGTAGGAGCTATGTAGTATGAACTGTTCTCTTGCTGCAGGGCTGACGACCAAATCCCATGCAGTCCGTTCGTCCGCTTCGTCGTTGTGTAGTAGCTTTGAGAACTTCAATCCCTGTTACACCTGCAATGGGATATTTAGTCGTTCTGTGGATAAATCCACTTCGACCTTTCAGTCCGTGCATATGAAAAGAATGGACGCTCAATGCCTTGAACTCGTCTTCGGATTGTTATGAATCGCATGTGCACAAGCATCGGTGCCGCATGTCTCTATGCCACGAATAGCCAGTCCACCCCAATTCATGATGAGTCCTTCAAAGATGAACATGCGTCAGCAATGGAGAATAGTTAACCCTCATTGTTCTAGCTAAACTTGAGATGGTAATTTTCGTATGCAAATTACTGGACATACCCTACCTACGCTAATTATCGGGTACATACGACCGCTGGATCGAGCGCTAAATCATCGCTTCCATACTAAGCGTTTCAGTAGTTTAGCGTCGGGTGTGGTCCGTTTTTCGATCTGTCTTTTGTTGTTGGAGGTATGTCGTCGGATAATAAATACATCCCCATTTTCTGTGGTCTTGGTAGAACCCCTCCTTTCTCACTTTCCACCCCCCTCATCATCCGATAATATGGTGGAAACATCTCCAACGCCCCAGCCGCCGCTACGGATCGGTACCCGACGATCCAACCTGGCCATGGCCCAGGCGGAAGGCATCCGGGACAGCCTACAAAAGATTGTCCCGGATCGATCCTACGAGATCGAAGCCCTCCGCACACTGGGCGATCGAGACCAGCTAACGGCGCTGTACAGCTTCGGCGCCAAGAGTCTCTGGACGACCGAGCTGGAAGAAAAGCTCACCTCCGGTGAATTGGATGTTATTGTGCATTGTCTGAAAGGTTAATACTCATTTCCCTCGTCCATTTTGATGAACTGCAGTGGCAGAGTTGACGCGACCAGATATGCCGACTAAGCTCCCCGACACTTGTGAGCTGGCAGCTATCCCGCCCCGCGATGATCCGCGGGACGCACTGATCGTCAAGGCCGGGTTGCCATACACGAGCTTGAAGAGCCTCCCCGAGGGCGCCGTAGTCGGGACTTCCTCCGTGCGGCGCTCAGCCCAGCTCCGCCGTCTGTATCCGCATCTCCGCTTCGCTAACCTCCGCGGCAATGTCGAGACTCGTCTCGCGAAGGTAGACGACCCTGACAGCGAGTACACGTGCATGGTCATGTCTGCCGCGGGTCTTGAGCGGGTAGGCCTCAAGCATCGCATCAGCCAGTACCTGGGCTCCAGGGACGGGGGCATCCTGCATGCTGTTGGGCAGGGCGCTCTGGGCTTGGAGATTCGCAAGGGAGACCGGAAAATGCAGGAATTGCTGGGCCAACTGGCTGATCAGAAATCCACTCTTGCTTGCCTTGCTGAGAGGTCTCTTATGAGGACCCTCGAGGGTGGTTGCAGTGTTCCTATTGGGGTTGAGACGGAGTGGATGCCTTCGGGGGACTTGAGGATGAATGCTATCGTTGTTAGTCTGGATGGCACCCGAAGCGTCGAGGATAGCATTACTTCGAGAGTCGAGGTGGTCGACGAAGCAGACGCGCTCGGAGAGGAACTTGCGGGAAGACTGGTCAAGGCCGGTGCAGGGAAGATTCTAAATGATATCAATGCGAACCGGCCTCCCAAGGACTGAGGTGGGCTACGTATTAATCACCTTGACTGATCCTGTTTCGCGCCTAGAAGAATCGGGTGTCCTGACTTTCTTACGGGTGTATAACCCGTCTGCGTATTGGGCGCGGGTAATGTAAACTACTGCTATCTGCAATCTTGTACATATAAGTAGGGCAACAATGTTCACCACTTTGAATAGAAGAACCTACGGAGTAAAGGGAATCAAGACACATTCAGGTACATGGGCAAGTGTATTCCTTAATACCTTCAAGCAGGCTGGAAGGGCTCTTGACGATCTATCTAGTATTATCCAGGAAAGGAATAACGCAAGAGACTGAAATACAGTATTATTTAGAGTGATTATCTGATGTAAAAAGAACGAAGGTAGCAGACAGTTACACGTTGAGACGGAATAAGCACATTTTCGCAGCCAGATTAGTAAAGAGCGCCAAAGAGGGCCGCGACAGCGACAGCCCAGACCATGCTCGAGACAGAGCCCGAGGAGGCATCGTTGGACAGGATGGGACCGGCGGTCGGAGAGGCAGTAGCCGACGCGGTGCCTGGGTGGGTCACCAGTGTCGAGGAGGACAGCCAGGGGTTGGGAATCCGGCTTGTGGTGCCTGCGGAGGTCGGGGCCGGGCCGGGGATCAGACCGATGGTAGTGGTCGAGCCGGCGGTGGCAGTTGAGAAAGCGACCTGGGGCACCGTCACGGTGTAAGAGGAGTAAGTGATGGTGGTGCAGGGGGCGGAGGGGGCCTCGGGAGCGGGCGTGACGGCCGCACCACCGGTCGGCGTGGCAGTGGCAGTGGCAGCACCAGTAGGAGCGGTGACTGCGTCCACGCCGGTGGGGGTGACGGTGGGGACCAGGGTGATGGTGGTCGGGATGGCGGTCACGATGCCGGGGTTCTGGGGCACGTAGGCAGCGCAGATACCGGTGAAGTAGGACAGAGCGGCCTGGACCTCCGCCTGCGAGGCTCCCCAGGACTGCACACAGGCGATGACCTTGTCAGTGAACTCGGAGGACGGGCAGAAGCAGCTGGCGTCACTGTTGGAGTCGCACTTGGGAAGCAGGCTGAGCCAGGTGTTGATACACTTGGGCACAACGTTGGGGCAGGGGGCCGAGGGGACAGACGAGGGAGTGGTGGTCACGGAGGGCACGTCGCTGGTCTCGCTGGCGGTGACCGGGGACTGGCCCGAGGGAAGGGTAGTGCTTCCCGCAGTGCAGCGAGTGCAGACGGTGGCGGTTGAGGTCAGAGTGACGGTCGAGACAGTGCTGTAGGTGGAGGTCGTGACGGTGCCGCTGGTCGAGATGGTTTCAGTCACAGGGCAGGTTGTCACAGTCTCGTATGTCACCACGGTAGTGGCCAAGTCCTCAGGGGCAGGGCCAGTGGTCACAGGGGCGACAGACGAGGGGGCGGGAGTGGTGCTGGCCTCGCAAGCAGTGCAGATGGTCGAAGTGGAAGTCAGAGTGACGGTAGAGACAGTGCTGTAGGTAGACGTGGTGACGGTGCCACTGGTCGAGATGGTTTCAGTCACAGGGCAGGTGGTCACGGTCTCGTAGGTTACAACAGTCGTGGTGACATCCCCAGTGATGCCAGGGGCAGTGCTGGAAGGAGCAGGAGTCGCAGGTGAAGTGATGGCCGGGGTCGAGGAGCTGGACTCGACGGGAGAGCTGCCAGTGGGGGTGCTTTCAGGGGAGGTCTCAGAGGGGGCAGTCTCGGAAGGAGTCTCGGAGTCGGTCTCGGATGGAGCAGTCTCAGTAGCAGTCTCGGAAGGAGTGACGTCGGGGGTTGGGCTTCCAGAGCTCGAACCCGCATCAACAGAAGAAGGCAGAGAGACAGAGGCAGTCTCGGTGGCAGTAACGGGGCACACAGTGGTCGAAACTGCAATGGTCGAGGTAATGACACTGATTGAGTTGGCAGGGCAGTCGGTCACCGTAGGAGCGCAGCTGGTGATGGTGATCTCACTAGTAGTGTACACGGTCGAGGTGGTCCACTGGACAGGAGTGGTGACAGGGGCGGGCGTCGTGATGCCTGCAGAAGACGACGTGGGGACCACATCAGACGAGGAAGGAACAGGAGTGGGAATGACAGGAGTGGACGACTCGGAGCCAACAGGAGTGGAGGACGATTCGGGGCTGACACCAGTCTCGGTTGGCACACCAGCGGTGGGAGTCGAGGTGGTCTTGCCAGGAGAGCAGTCAAAGTCAATGCTGTGGACACCGATGTCACAGTCATCATCCTCCGATCCCTCGGGGGGCTCGAAGCTCACGGAGACGGCACCGCCGCACTGGTCGTTGCTGACCTGGGTGCCCTCGGGCGAGCAAGAAGCAACGTTACGGCAAGTGGAACCATCGGGCATGCCATAGACGATGTGCACGTCGGTCTCCTTGGAGGTGGAGAGATGCAGCTTGCTAATGGAGAACCCCTTTTTCTCTTGGCCGCAGGAGAACTTGGGGGCAGAGGAGAGCTTCCCCTCAATGGATTTGCCCTGTGCGCCATTAGCATGTTGCTTTTGTGATGTGGAAGGAGAAGATTGAGCCGACTTACGCCGCCGAAGGTACGTTTTCCCCAACCGGTGCCGTCACTGCACTTAAAACCAGAGAAATCGAAGCCTCCATACGAGGAGAAGGATCCGGCAGTAAGGTCAGACCAGTCCCAACCACCTTTCTGATGATCAGTGCACTCGTTGTCTGTGTTCTCGGGATTGGAGTAGCACTTGTCCGTGACCCACCACTGGAGAAAGTCAGAAAGGTATACAAGCAAGAGACTCCAGGGACTCAAGGACACTCACCGAGCCAGTGGCCTGGGCCACGGCGAAAAGAGAAACGAGAGTGACCGAAACGGCCTTCATGTTGAGTTTGTATTTGTGTTAGAGAGACAGACAGTATAGATGAAGACAGGAAGAAAGAGTTGAGGTCGAAGTTGCGTTGAACTGAAAGAAGACCCAGAAGAATAGTACTACTATTATTGATATCGTACACCAGCGACAACAATAATTCGAGGGCAGAGTCTATGAATAGAAGAATGGCAATGACCCCGAAGGCACAAAGAGTGAATCCGACGGGTGAATGGGCGTCTGTGGGATCACAGTCCACCAAAGAGTAACGACAATGATAGAAAGAAAGCGAAGGTCGACTTGGTCACAGCCAAGGCAAAGTGATAGAATTAGGAAAACAGAAAACAAGACGCTTAGTTTTCTTGAACCGGAAGAGGGCATACAGCTCTTTTTAAAAGCTGGCCGCAGGGCCCTGGCAACATGAAACGAGCCACAGCATTGCAACATTGCATGCCATTGACCGGTTCTGGAGGTGCAAGTGAAACAACCACATGCCCCCTCATGATCCATCAATAGGGACAGAGAACAAAGGCCCTGGTGGTTCTGGGACAATGGACCAGTTCAAACGGGCCATTCACAGGACACCCGGCGGAGCATCTTGTGTCAAGCATTGAGCCCAAAAAAGCAAGTAAGACATTCTGAGAAACGCCTCTTTTCAACACATCCAGCAGCCGTTTGACAGGCGGTGCCTAGGTTAACTGGTGAAACCGTCAGACAAGAGCGCTGTTGCCAATGAGCGATCAGAGTGGAAACCCCTCAGGGGCCAATTGGCCGGCATGCACTAGAAATGCAAGCCGTCTGAAGTCGCGCGCTAGTGCAGGAACAGAGCAGAAAGCAGAAAGCGATCAGGGAAGCGCCGAAGAACCACCAATCATCTTAATCAGCGCTGTCCAGATCGAGGAGACTAGACCACTTCGTAGGAGTCATGTAAAACGAACTACTCGGATGGAGGTGAGCTCACATACCTCGACTGGACTAACTAATTAAAGCGAGAATGCCGGCGTCTGCGGGGCCGCTCAGTCTAGATCCGGGCTCAGTCCCTGACTCCCTGGAGGGTTTGATTCTTCCCTGCAGCGGTTTGCTTATTATGGTATGTAGTTATATGGCGGTTTATTTGTCACTGTCATGGTCATGCACAAGAGGAGGCACACCTCTGTGAAATTGCAAAAAATGCAGAGATGCGGTGGTAGGGGCTCAGCAGGCGCCCAGTCTGCAGATCCGGCATCGGGCTCGCGGTAAGCTTGTACAATGCCAAAGATGGAAATCATCATGATTATCATCACTATGATTACAAAACAAAAGGTTAAAAGTCACTCGGCTAATGCATGGATGGACGGTCGGAGGGGATTGAACTGGACAATGATGAGGTAGATAGTGGGGAAGTAGAAGAAGAAGGGAAAAGAAAGCCCGCAGCAATTCTCGACAAATCACCTGTTATGCCGTTGCCCATAGACACGTCAAATTACACAGCAACACAACACTCTACCAGTATCCTCAGGCTACAGCATGCAGATTCAATGGCAATCTGCAGCCTGCAACATATGCAGACAACCAAAAGAAGGATAGGAAGAAAAAGAAAGTCCAAATCACAATAAGCGAAGCAAAAGCAAGCCCCCAGCCAAGACCGCTGGCGTCTCGCCCTGAAACACTTCCAGTCTCATCCCCCCCCAATGGCGTTGTCGGCTACTATATTTATCAAAAATAGATTACTTGCTCTACCGACTGCAAGACCATCATCCAAACAAGCAACAGACAATCATCAAGAACAAGACCCTCCTCAGTCTGTTCTATTCTTCACCATAGCCGCCATCAGCTCGAACCCGCATGATCTTCACAACCAACGAATCATTCCGCATACCTCGATGAGTAGGCCAGGATCAGGGTCACTTCCTGCACGGGATCCTACAGATGGAGTGAACTCAAGGTCAAGAGCCTAAGTAGTAGCAATCGTATGGTATCAGTATGGACTATTTCCCGCTGTGGCGCAGACGAACCCTCATGTCGACTTCGACCACGAGTCCATGCTCACTACCCGTAGACTCGTAGACCGTAGTACGGTACTACAGCCTCGGAGGGTCGCATTTGGAAACATACAGCCAGCCACTTAATGTATGCAAGACGGACTTTTAGCTTGGTCAAGCCTAGCTGGTGCTAGTAGCTACTACCGTAGCTACCCTAGCAGTACTACTCTGCTAGTGCTACGGAGTACCTGACTCCATCCCCAGAGAGTCGCTCCATTCTCACGTCAAGTGTCAGTGCTCGGTCACTGACGGTGGGCCAGTTGACTCTATTTACAGCACGGACTACGGACTAGATATTTCTGGTACTGTACTCTGTAGATACTGACCAGGAGCATTTCTTTCTCGTTGTTCACTCGGTTACTCTGAGGACATCTCATGTTCGGGCCCGAAGACTCTTCCAGGCGTCGATGGTGTTCTTGGCAGTGTCGCACGATGCCTGCTCTCGGCACTCGGCAGAAACTGTCTTAGCTATTATCCATGCGACTGTTGCCTGACCTCTGAAAAGACAAGAAACTATTGAGTAAAAGCCTGCAGCCAGTCTCGGCAGGACAAGATTGTACGTAAATAATGAGTTACATGGTGCAATCAGACGCTTAAGAACTTTTGAATCTGTTTTTGAATTGTTGGTATATGACTCTCACATGACTGGTATAACATCGTGACATAGAATGAAAAAGATGAATAAACGAAAACATAATCCAGGATCCATGAGGTATTTGCTTAGCGCCATAAGAAGTAAAAGACCCAAAGTAGACAAATGGGTAGATCTCAGATCTACAATGCACGACGTGAACCAGACACCACAACTCAAAAGGCATCAACTTTTGGTCCTCGAACATGTATCCATAGTACTGCTCCCGTGAACCATGCTAGATGCATCAAAGTAACGACTCTTGACTCGCTAGGTCAATCAATACTCGTCTATGTGTAACAAGCCCACAGCGCAATATCTAGAGGACCGCTAGACGAAGTCTATGCTGTGACACAGACGGCAAATAACAGAATTCATCCAATCCTTTCAAGGCGTCCATAAGGGACTGTGGCTGAACATGTAGCATCGCTAGATTTAAAAAGGAATCTGGGTGCGCCGGTGGGCATCCATGAGCTTTCGTCGCACAGCCTCGCCGCCAGCATATCCGCTAGCCTTGCGTTTCCGAGTAGGAGTGCGCTGGTCTGCATGTCTGGCATGACGGAAGACGCTAGCAGGCCGAGATGGAGAATTGGCAGGCATGAATTCTCGGTGCTGGGGCAACCGTAAGAGGGCTTGATATCTGTTGTGGTTGCGACGGAAGGCCGTCACAATGCCACGATCCAGATGATTCAGGAAGCGTTCAGCACTGTTGGTTTGTTGTACATCACCTCCGCGGTTGGGGGTAGGAGTACCGGATACGACTGTCATGGATGCAGTGGCCATTGGCGAAGCAATCGCATCTTCGTCAGATGCCTTGCCCATCTCCTCGTCTGAGGAGCCGTCTCCAAAGTCGATGAAATCCTCGACATTCAAGGCGGCTTCCGGATCATCGTCGTCGTCATCATCCTCAAAGGAACTATCAATAGCAAAATCACGAGATGGGTAAAATGCCTCCGGGGGACCCATAACTTGACCACCCGGGGCAATGTCGTTTCCAAGGGCCGTCATCATCAGATTAGCACTCGATGCCAACATCGGACTAAGGTCGTGACGGTTCGGCGAGGCCAGAGCATCCGTGTCGCTCTCGTCGATCAGGTGCATAGTAGTGGCACGTGGGCTATTGTTGGCAGTGCCGCAAATGCTGTTGGTGGCAGACTCCAGCCAGTCATGGCGGGATGAGGCATAGGCTGGAATGATCACAAGATGTTTCCCCGTACAGTCGACCAAGGCCACCGGTTTGTGGGGGTCTGCAACAAAAGTACCTAAGATTGGACCGCGCCGACGAGTAGGGGGTTGGCTTTTGTTCTCGTCGGCGGGAGGCAGAGAAGCAGAGGAATCGCGGCGGAGAATGGAACGGGGGTGGGTGATTGTTGCCGGTGGTGGAAGGTCTTCATCTGTGGTCTCGCCATCATCGGCTTCAAACAGGTCAGTAGGAGGATCAAGGGGAAAGTCCAGGTACGCTGCATACTCTCATAGCCACTCGACTCGGATCCCTCGGAAACGGCGTCAGACTCGACGTGGTAAATGTTCGAATGGCCATAGTCCGACTCAGCGAACAACTCATCGGACTGGCGACGGCGGCTGCTGTAGTTCTCGTTGTCGTTCTCAATCATACGACGTAGTTGAGGATCGAGACTGTCCTGTTGCAAGAAATCACTCGGGATCTCATCCTCTGTATGCGAGTCGCTTTCCGACGAGGAATCGGAATCCTCTTCAAAGTGGACACGCCTAGGCATGGGCGTCTCCGCAGCCGCCTCGCTGGCGAAGTCAGTCTCGCCAAAGGTTTCCATAGCACTGTAGAGCTGATCCTCGTCGAAGAACGATGCAGCAGACAGCAGCATGTGGTCTTCAAAAGTGTTGGTACCGGCCAACTCGAGCTCAGACACAGTCGAAGTCTTGAAGACGTCGTCGACGTCGTGCTCATCCTCTGACTCGACAATAAGGAGCTCTTCCAATATTTCAACATCCTGATCTTCATCGTCTCCGTCGCTTATATCGTCCACGGCAGCGTATACATCATCCGAGCTCCCATATGAATCACTTTCATCGCTGCTTCGTTGCCCGTCATAGCCATCATCGTCGGAGAGCCTCACCCTTTTCCGACCTGTAGACTTCATGGCCGACTTACGGCCCTTGTCACGTCTACCGTAAGACGGGCCGCGAACAGCTGGCTGTTCCTTTTCATCATCAGCGTCCTCTTCTGATTCATTGGCATCGTCACTGAGGGCTTCGATAGATGAGACCGAGGAAACGCTGGAGATCGACGAGCTCGAAGCTCTTCGTTTATGGTCAGTAGTAAAGGAGCTGAGAGGGAGAGATTTGCTGGACCGCCGTGACGACGAGCTCGCAGACTTGGGGTCCAG